ACACTTGAGGTGCTAAAGCTTTCTAAGGCCAAGAACTACAACTACATCAAGAGGTATTCATCTAACTATGAGTTCTATATTGTATATCCTCTATTGTATGATAGTTAGGATGTATGCTTTGGTAAATTTGAAATTGCATGTACAAGTAGAGAAAACATAGATCCAAAGCATCTAGGGTTGCATGTGTACCATATGAGTGTTATAGTGCTTAAAACCCAACAAGAAGAATAAAAGGAAGGGAGGAAAGATAGCGTGAAAAGAAGGTGCTAAGCATCCTTATAAAGAGAAGGAAAGGCAGGATGTTTAAAATCCCTGACATAGTGACGTAACTGACAGCCATGATGAGCGGTCATGTCGCCATTAAAATCGAAACGGCAGATAAACCAGAAACGGACACGTATACAGAGTAGTATTTGAGTCCAGAACACCGTCGCTAGCGTAGAAACACTACGGCTACTGGACTATGGGACTTGATAACGTGCCCTAGCGAGCACGAAAAGAACCGCACCCGGCCGCGACAGAACACCTCAAGGCATAGCGTGCCCAACAGGACAGACCCAGCGGAGCTTAGCGCCCGCCGGAACCCCTGAGAGCAGGGCGCTCCCATAGAAAGGATCGCCCCCGCTTAGGGCGACTTCCGCTCTGAGACAAATGTAACGATCAAGCAACAAAGCAAATGTTCAGGGCATTACCACCAGAACCAATCACAACGCTCTGACAAATAGACGAGCACGATCCTCTAATCATCGCTCCTGACGCTGTCGGCTCTGACGACCCTGTCCCGTATGGATGATCAGGAGCGCCTAATATAAAAGGCTATCCTTAGAGTCCCGACAGGTAAGCAATCTTCTCCAAGTAAAATACACCAAACCCTAGAATACCCAACTAACTTGACCGTCGGAGCGTCTTTCCGGGAGCTCCTCCCGGGAAACGGCTGACGGCTATCTTTTTACTGTGACCTTGCAGGAGCAGCGAAGAAATCCATACCGAAGTTCGAGCAGAGAGAAACCAAGGTCAGATCATATGCCAAGTTCTCCAAGTGTAAGTTTTGGTTACAAGAGGTCTAGTTCCTGGGGCATCTCGTTAACTAGAATGGGATTTTGGTTGATTCGGTAAAGATTGAGGCTGTGATGCAGTGGGAGGTTCCGAAGTCTCCCTTAGAGATTAGGAGTTTCTTGGGCTTAGCCGAATATTATCGGAGATTTATCCATGATTTTTCCAAGATTGTTGTACCCTCACTCGTCTGACGAGGAAGGGCGTGGATTTCCGATGGGGCCCTAAGCAGCAAACTGCGTTTGAGACACTGCGGCAGAGATTATGCGATCCCCAGTATTGACCCTTCTGGAGGGTGTTGAGGATTTCGTTGTATTTTATGATGCATCCATCACTGGTTTGGGGCTGTTCTTATGCAGACGGGGTGAGTGGTTGCATATGCTTCTTGGCAGCCGAAGCCGCATGAGGCACGATAGACTACTTATGATCTGGAGTTGGGGCAGTAGTGTTTGCTCTCAAGATTTGGCGGCACTACTTGTATGGGGTCCGGTGTACTATTTACACAGATCACACAAGTTTGAGATATCTTATGGACCAGTCGAACCTGAACATGAGGCAACGTAGGTGGTTTGATGTGGTTAAGGATTATAACTGCGAGATTCTTTACCATCCGGGTAAAACAAATGTGTTTGCGGATGCTTTGAGCCGCAAGTCGGTTGGAACTTTAACTGGGGATATGTGTATGAGGATATCCATTGATTCTCCACTTTTGGATTTGATCAGAGGGGCACAACTAGAAGGAGAATTGGAAACAGGAGAGGATCAGGGGTGAGATCGAGAAATTTGTCACAGATAGTCAGGGACTGTTAACCCGGTGTGTTCGGGTTTGGGTTCCGGTTTCTGGAGGAGTCAGGCAGATAGTTCTGGAGGAGGCACATAAGTCTCGCTGTTCGATACACCCAGGAGGCACCAAGACACATCGGGATTTGAGACTAAGTTACCGGTGGCCATGTATGAAGAGGGAGATAGTCTGATACGTTGAGAGGTACTTGACCTGGAGGATGGTCAAGGCCGAGCATCAGAGGCCGCATGACAAGCTGCAGCCTTTGGAGGTTCCCATGTGGAAGTGGGAATAGATCACCATGGATTTTATCACCAAGCTACCAAAGATTGCCAAGGGATTTGATGCTATCTGGGTCATCGTGGATCGATTAACCTAGAGTGACCACTTTTTGGCCATCCGGGAGAGCTCCTCGGCCGAGAAGTTGGCTGATGTTTATGTACGAGAGATTGTTTCTCGTCATGGGGTTTCTATTTCCATTATTTCATATCGAGATGTTTGGTTTACTTCACGTTTCTGGCAGAAGTTCCACAAGGAACTGGGTACGAGACTACATTTCAGCACTGCTTATCATCTGCAGACTGATGGCCAGAGTGAGCGAACCATCCAGACACTTGGGGATATGTTACAGGCTTGTGCCATAGATTTTGGTGGGAGTTGGGTCTCCTAAAAACCTCTTGCGGAGTTCTCCTACAACAACAACTATCTCTCCAACATTGGTGCATCGCCCTTCCAGCTTTTGTATGGTTGGAGATGTCGTACCCCAGTCTGTTGGGGGGAGGTTGGTCACAAAGTCATTGGGATGACTGAGGTGGTCCTCCATACTACAGATCTCATCCAACAGATCAGGCATAGATTGCAGACAGCTCAGAGTCGGCAAAAGAGTTATACCGACCGGTGTCGATCATAGTTGGAATTCCAGGTCGGCAATATGGTACTACTGAAGGTCTCACCCTGGAAGGGTGTGATACACTTCAGTAGCAACATCAGAGAGGCTCCGAGTTGACCTGGGAGCCGGGTGGAGATGCGAGAGTATTATCCTGAGTTATTCGTATCAGCTGACTTCGAGGACAAAATCTAGTTCAAGTGGGGGAGAATTGTAACATTCCAATGTTGGGGTAATTTCAATTTTAACCCTATGCATGAAGGAATATTGCATTTTGACCATTGGGCTTGAGAAAGATTGCAAGAATGGCCCATAGTGGCATTTTGGTGATTTTGGCCAAAAGATCTAGTATTCTGGGCGTACTAGGGCGGACCTTAGTACCCTAAGCGTACACCGCGTACGCAGGGCGTACGTGAAGAATCCTCAAACCCTAATTTTTAGGGTTTGGTCCATATATAAGCATCATTATCACCTCATTCCTCATTCCATAAATTTGTGTGCCTTGGTGGTGTTCTTCAAGAAGAAGAAGTTGGTAGAAGGACTTTGGAGCTTGGATCTGGGATTCTCCACTTGCTAGCAACCTCTAGGAGGTAAAAAGCTTCTAGCTTAATCACCTTATTGTGTAGATCTAGCCATTTCTTCATTTAGGGCATTTTTGGTCCCAAATATGGTGATTCTTGAGCATAACATGCTCTTAACCAAATAAGTCATCCTTTTAGACCTAATGAGGGGTCTTGAGTCATAAAAACGTGGTCTTGATGCTTAGTTTTCCCCATGCATGCTCTAGAGGGTCTTAAGGTGTTAAGAAGTTGGGATTTTGTGTATTACGCACTTATTAGGCATGCAAAGTCATAAAGTTGGAAACTTTATGACTAACTAACTATGTGGTGTGCTGGTACTTTGGGGGAACTCACTAAGCTTTGGCTTACTGTTTTTAGTTTATCGTTTCAAGTACTTTAGAGGATCGTGGAAAGGCAAATGCGTGATCGTACATAGCTTCCTGTTTTATGTCACTGGGTCTTGGGGAAAACTCTGATTTGAAATAATGTTTTTGAAATAATTATTATTTTTGTAAACAATGTTGATGAATGGTTGATTTTAAAAATTCTAATTTATTATGATTTTTGAGTGTTACACACACAAGTGCTCACGTCGTGACTAAGACTAAATCCTTAAAAGTTAACTGATAGCCCAACAAAAATGCTTACCTGGAAGTCTGGAACTAGATGTTACACCCATCACCACTACCGCCGTCGTTGTCACCACTACCACAACCATCACCACCATCATCACCACCACCACCACCCCACTTTTACCCCACCACCGCCACCATCATCGGTACCACAACTGCCACCTCATCAACCGCCGCCACCCCCACCCACACCACCACCCCCACCCCCACCACCGCCGCTACCGCCGCTACCACCCCCTCCCACCCTACCACCACCATCATTTTCTAAAAATGAAAACCTATTGAAAAATATACATCTAAACACGTTTTCTATTTTATCTAAAACCGAAAATGAAAAGTAAATAAATTTTAACTAAATGCGTTTTCTAAATTTTATAATGAAAACTGAAAATAAAAATTTATTTCATTTTTATGAAAATTAAAAACGGAAAAGGAAAATTGTTTTACCGTAACTAAACGCAACCTTAATATTTTATGTTTTTCTGGGTTTAAACTTTAAACCTAAACTTCTTTATTTCAAAAAAAAAAAAGAAAAGAAAAGAAACCCCTCATATTTTAATAAAAAGTGGATCGATGGTCATGTTTTAGTAAATTCTTTATCCAATAAATATTTCGACAAAGAACAAAGTCATCTAAAGCAAGACTAGAAGAATGCCGAATGAACCAAATGTGTTTGTAACATACACTAGTTAAATACAAAAAAGCCAATCCAAGTTATGTGGTTGAAACTCATAATAATCCACACTTAGTGTATGCTCGACACTCTAAAACTAGGTGAACTTTGAAATCTTTTTGGATCAAAACACATGGTTCACTATAGTCCCCATGGTACCTAGTGGAGTCATACACACCCCTGATGTGTATTCGATAGTACTTTGATGGACGTTTAATTTAACAACGTTCACCTTAGTCTTACGATAACCTATCACGTATGAGCCAAACAAATTAGAAGGGAAACATTTCTACATATATGCAAGATAAATAATTATGGCTGCATCAATCAATTATTATAAAGAAAACAAAAATAATACAAAATTTAGAAAAAAACATAATTTCTTTTGCGGGAAACCAAATTACCAAAATCCTAATTGTGCGCAGTCCTTAAACCCTACAAATATGGTGTGTCACTGTTGAAGAATAGTCGCTTCCCCCTCTCCATTCTGAAAAACCTCTAAATACACCCAAAAATGGAGCCGGAGAATGGCCTTGGTGACGAAGAAGGGAATCAGAAAACGATTTTCGTCGACACCAGCCTCGACACTCATCTAGCTACTATCGTGTCTGATTCCGACACTGTTTCCGATCTTAAAGGTAATATTCGTAACCGGTTTACCCTAATATATATCGTGTAATACGGTTTATGAACACATTTTGTCTTTGAGTTTAACCTAACTTCATTTTCATATTTGTCTTCGGTAGAGAAGGAACATCACTATTTTGGTTTGTAACTTATACTCTGTGTGTGTGTGTAAGGTTCCATGAACAGAGCTTAGCTTCCAGTCTGCATGTAATGGTATATTGCTCAGATTTAAAAGTTGATGTGAATTTCACGATTTTTGAGAACCAATGGGTGACGGAATTGAATTTTGTAACTGCTAATATCAGCATTACTTTTGCTTATGTGGTGCAACAAATCCTATTTTGCATTACAAATCTGTTGTTCCATATAAGATTAGTTTGGCATCTGTGTATTATGTAACAGGGGTATCTTAGGATGTATGAATCAGGGTAGTGCAAACCAATACCCTTTAGTAGTGTTAGGGTTCCAACAACATGAAAGTAGCAGAGTAGGTTTAAGCTCATTTTACAGAATATCTGTTGGTGTGTTGGTAGGGATACTGAATACCCATTAAATGCAGATTTTGATTCTTATCAAAACGTTTATCATGGTTTTTTGTGCAGGGAAAATTATGTTAGAACATCGTGAGTGCTTTCCTGCCATTGGAGATATTAAAATCCATTGTTTGAAGGTATTTTCTTCCTATAACCTTGTGTAAAGATTATCAATCTTTTTTTCTAGCTTTTTATCCTTCAAACTTTCTCTTTTTTTTGTGGCAGGTAAAACGTAGAGGAAACTATTATCACTTATCAGACTCTATGCTTGTTAAGAGTGCATTTAAAGATAGTCAAAAGAACTGGTTTCTCTCAGTAGATGCTTCTCACTTAGAGCAATGTGATGGCATTCAACAAAAACCAGGGGATCAACTAGCCTTGCCTTGGGTAAAAGAGGGTTGTTCGATTGATACACATGATAGTCAAACTCAAGCAGAGGGACCTTCAAAGCTGTCTCTCATCCATGGATCACCATCAAAGCATCCCAAGATTTTTGTACCCTTTGTGAATCAGAAACTCCCTACTTCTGATGGTTCCTGTAAAAAAGCTTCAAAGAACATCGAGGAAGATAGGTCATCTAATCTTGAACCAAGTTTAGAGCAGCAGTTGGATCCTAAAGTAACAGAGAAGTTATATACTGTTGTTGATAAGGAGATAAAATCCAAGAAAAGGATACGTGAAGTGCATAATGAGGAAGCTTCTGTGATGAAAAGACGTAAGACTCAGAGGACAGAAGGGGATGCAAAAGCTCTAGAAGAGAATAGAGTTGTAACAAATGATTCTGACAAGGTAAAGAACATGGGAACAAGCATAAACGATGAGAACTCCATTGAATATAAATCAAAAAGTAAAGATGCAGCTTTGGATGGTGTTGTAAACAAAGCTATGAATGATAAACATACAAGAACCACATCGGTGAGTCAGAAGAAGCCAAAAAGAACTAGAAAAGGTAAAATCTCTGCTCATGATCAAGTAGCCATTGTTGCCCCTTTGAGTGTAGAAGATGTTGGAGAGGCGACACATCCTGAAAAGAACACAGAAGCAAGTGAAGTTATTCCTGATGCTCCAATGGTTATGGAAAAGAATATTCAACAAGATATGATTTTCCAGTCAAAAAGTAAAGATGCAGATTTGGATGGTGTTGTAAACAAAGCTATGAATAATGAACATACAAGAACCACATCTGTCAATCAAAAGAAGCCAAAAAGAGCTAGAAAAGGTAAAACCTCTGCTAATGATCAAGTAGCGATTGTTGTCCCTTTGAGTGTAGAAGCTGTTGAAGAGGAGACACATCAGAAAAATACAGAAGCAAGTGAAGTTCTTCCTGATGTTCCAATGGTTGTGGAACAGAATAATCAATCAAAAAGTAAAGATGCAGCTTTAGATGATGTAGTAACCAAAGCTATGAATGATGAACATACAAGAACCACATCAGTCAGTCAGAAGAAACCAAAAAGAACTAGAAAAGGTAAAATTTCTGCTCTAAAAGTTGCCATTGTTGCCCCTTTGAGTGTAGAAAATGTTGGAGAGGAGACACATCATCAGAAAAACACAGAAGCAAGTGAAGTTATTCATGATGTTGCAATGGCTGTGGAAAAGAATATTCAGCAAGAGACTTCTCAGAAGGAGAAATGCAATGAACTTGTTGAAGAGGCTGATATTGGGAATGAAATACCTTCATCATCAATGAGTAAGTACATACATATGATGCCTTTATTATATCCATATAGCTTTAATTTTCTCAATATTTTGTAGCTGACTAAGTTACATGTCTTTTCAGAAGGAGTAACTGTTGAAGATGACCATGCTGATGATCTTGTTGCTGACATTTCTTCAACTGTTCCTACTCCAGTCTTTGATGAGAAAACCATTGATGAACAAAACAATGATAAGGCTAACATAATTAGTGATGAAAAGAGTGAAGTTTCAGAGAAAACATCAATGGATGATTCTCTTAAAGTTGATGATCAGATTGTGAAAGAGGTGAAGATTGCAGAAGCAACTGAAACAATGCAAAAAGAAAAATCAAGAAAGGAAATCAGAATCAAGAAAAAAGATGTTGGGAAATCTTCAAAAAAGGATGAAGTTATTCCTTCTGAAAGGAAAGAAACAGCAATAGATGCTTTGCATGTTGATAAAGATGCTGAAATTTCAAAAACTAGTCAACTGAATGCAGAGATTTCAGAAAAGCAAAATGAGAAAATGGATGATGCACAGACTATCAAAAGGAAAAGGAAAAAGAGAAACAAGAAATCAGGTGCTGAAATTCCTCAAGAGACCTCGAAGAATGTGACTGTATCTCAAGCTCCCAAGGGCAATAATGTAAATTCTGATGTTGGTATCCCAAAGGAAGGATCTCATGAAATCGACTTCATGGACTACTTTTCACCTAATAAAACTACTCCTCTTGACAATGTTGAAAATGGGAAAGACACTAAATTGTCTGTGAAGGAGAAGAAACCAAAAAGGAAATCAAAAGAACAAAATGGTAATGCGAACAAAGTCTCGTCCTCAAAGAAGATTCCAGAAGCTTCTACAGATGGAGGTGTGGCAAAAGACCAAAATGCCCCTAATGTTACTAAAGTAAAAACCCAACAAAAAGATGATGGTACGATTCAATCTCTTTCAAGAAATGAAAACAACAAAGCCTTGTCCTCAAAGAAGATTCCAGAAGCTTCTACAGATGGAGGTGTGGCAAAAGACCAAAATGCCCCTAATGTTACTAAAGCAAAAACCCAAAAAACGACAACAAAGATTAAGAAACCACAACCATTTAGTGAATCAGACTCAAGCTCAGAATCAGAATCATTTGGCAGGTCTTTGAAAAGTCAAAAAAAGAATACAAAACAGCAACCAACTACTCAAGTTAAAAACTTGAAGAAAAATGTGCCAGGTGTCAAGAGTGTGTTGAGTACACCTGGAACAATATTTGGGGATAACAGTGATGATAGTTCTGCTGATGATAATGCAATCATAAATTCAGATTCCAGCACACGAACTCCATCAAGAAATCCATCATCATCAGGGGAAAGTGATTCCAGCATTGACTCCAGAAGATATGGTAATTGGATTTATTTATTTTCTTCACTAATTTTAATTTATGCCACATAAAGCAGCATTGATTTTTATTTCTTTTTATAATCATTTATTTTGAATTTGTATCAGAAGTGAAAAGAAATGAAGGTGGTGGAAACAACAACATGAACTCACAGTAAGTTTCCCATTTCTTGCTTGTTGTATGTATGTTTAAGGGTAAAATGGTCATTTTGAACTTGTATAATATGATAGGAGCAGGCTGAAGAACATATCAATGGCTGAGCTTTTGAAAAGTTCAAGTAGATACAAGAAAGCCAGAGTCACTGCTGCATCACAGTCACAGGTCAATGATACAGAAAGCGAGCCTGTTGACTTTGTTCCAGAAAGTCAACCCGTGGCTAAGAGATAAATTTAGGGGCATTTTTGTCTCAAGTTTTGGTTAGGAAGGAAGGCTACTTTTATAATTGAACAACTTTTTAGGTGTGGTTTTTACTTCCTATTTCTCTTGGACATAGGTTTAATTTTGATTTGTTTTTGGTTACTGTCTATTAATATTTACGAGGATGAGGACGGGGGCATTTATGTCTTTTGCAAATACCAGGGATCAAGGGTGAGTCCTTGTTTGACCATTTTGAGTGGGACAAAAAATAATAATTTTTGTTCCCTTTGTTACTTTGATATCAGATCCAGTCCAAGGCAACATTAGCATCATGTCTCATTTAAACCCATTTAGGTTAAACAGATAAAATAGTTTTTATTTATTATTATTTTTTTTTAAACATAAATTGGTTTGAAAGAGACATGATTTTAATGTAAAAATACTTGAATCTTATAATTTTTTTTAAACTCCCCTTTTTGTTCTTCTGTCGTCATAGTCCTTTCAAATATTTTTTAGAAAACAAGTATTATTTACTTTGTGGTTGTTTCTTTTAATCCCCCGCTGATCATTTTACCCATATATTTGAACTAACAATGTTCAAAATACCAGTAAATTATGACAATGTTCATCAAATCTAACAGAGAAAAGCTTTGAGGGAAAAAAGAAAAGACAAATATAAATACACTAAACCTGACTTTTTTTAGCTTAACTTGACCCATTATTATCCGAGTTATTCGCTAAAATGCCTAAATGTCGTCTTCGTTTGACCAACTTTTATCAGCAATATAACAAATTGACTAGCATCTGCATGTAACAGTCATCGTTTGTTTGTGTTTCGATGTCTTTTGAGTTTTGACATAACACAATATTGATAATAGCTCATGATTAGGCATTTTAATTTTTGAGAATTATATGCTGCTATCTAGCTATGAACATAAGTTTGTATTTTTTTTGGAAACGACAAATATTATATATAAAAATGCCGCACGTTTAGCAAGTGGCTAAGGAAACTTGGACAAGAGTACATAGTCACTTATAATGGAGAAATTAATAGAGAATAAAAGGTGAGATGCTCCACTCAATCTATCTACCACTTGATTTAGAACTCCTGTGTTTAAGCCACGAAAATGATTGAGAGATAATGTCACCTACGATTTTTGCTAGAGTGGTGTTTACCTTTTTAAACGTCTTGTTATTCCTTGCCTTACAGATGTACCACAACGTACAGTAGAATATCAAAGTGACTATCGACCTTTTCATAGGGCAGTTGCCCCAAGAGGCAGCAAAGTTAAGAAACTGTCGTTTTGGTAATTCACACAATTTGAAAATCCAATCATGTGTCTCTTCCACCACTTTGCATTTAACAAAATGATCATCTATTTCTTGTTCATCTCCACAAAGAAGGCATAAGTTAGATTGCACTGTTATACCTCTCCTCGCAAGTTTAGTTGCAAGTGGTATCTTTCTTTGCACTGCACGCCATACAAAGCATCTGACCTTGAGTGGGATAATTTTGACCAATCAGACCATTGTAAGGTGTTCCCATGGAGTCAATACGTCTTCTCAACGTGTTAACTGTGTATATATCATCCGAGTTAATATTAACTTAAACCCTAGGGGGACTGGTGTGAGTCTGATATTATTGAGAGTCGAACAAAGCTCTATGAATTCTTATAGCACCGCATCACCACGAAGTGAGGATTATCATTTCCATGTGAAACTCGCATTTGTAACTCTTTCAGTAGCATAACATCTTTTAACAGATTCCAACTCTTTATATTGGCTTCTTCCCAATGCAACCGTTACAAAAAACATAATAGATTTGGCTTAGCAATAGTGCCATCAATATGTGATCAATAATTGTTACTTGGGAGGTACTATGTTAAAATATATTTTAAGGAATTGTGCTTCTACAAAACGGAGCACACATTATTATAATTGATTGTCCATAATTAATCAATCACCCTCCAAACTTTCCAAACAAAATAAATAAATAATTGTTAGTCCATAAATCTAACACCATATAAGTCGAGTTCTTTTTAACATTTTAGTAAATTTATTCGATTCTGTTTTACCATCTATTGAAATAGGAATTTTTAATACTAGATGTTGTGAGCTAATAGATTGCTTTATTGATCATTCAAAAGACAATTACATAATATATAGTGAATACGCAAACCCTAATTACTAAAGGACTTGAGACTAAACCTTAATCACTAACATCTCCCTACAGTTTGATCGGGAGGAGACGATTAAACTAGAAAAATAAACAAAAGAAGAAACATAAAAACTAGATGAATACAACGACAACGGAATCAGAACTCTAACGATGGCGGCTAACAATTACTCCTTGTCGGAGAAGAAGAGCGAAAAAGCGGCATCCAGAGGCGGTTATGTTGTAAAAGAAAAGAAGAGCGGCGGAAATGGCGATTATGGAACTGGCGGCAGAGGAATCTGGAGAAAGGTAGCAAGAAAGAAAGAAGGCTCGAGCTGCGGTGGACGGAGCCCGCGAGAACGACAACTACAATGTTAATAGAGAGAGACGATTACCGATCATAGATTGACTCGGAAAAGAGATCTGACGAAGAAGTAGCCACCCGAGGAGGAGATAGAAGGTTCGGAGGCAGGGCCATCCGAGGACGAGGCAGTAGGAAGAAGCCGATGAATAAGCTCTGTTTGGTGTCGGCGGCTGTTTTATCATTTAGAAGGAGAAGAGAAGAAAGTAAATAATATGAAACATAATGAAGGCACCTCCGACAACTTTTAAAGAAAGGTCACCGAAGGTGGAGGGCGACAACAGGGGGTTGTGATCAGTAGAGTTTTAACCTAGAGTTCATATATATGTTATAATGCACAATATTTTGAATAGCTCTAAAGTTAACTGGAAAGATCAAATTACTAAAATATATATAAAGAAGCAAACAAGAAATAGTTTGTGACGATGATCATTCATTTAACAAATATACGAATAGCAAAACAAGAAACATAATGAACTCATACGACTAAAACGTGTTCAAAACAGCCTAATAATGTGTTTTAGATCTTCTATTAGTATTTATGTATCACTCAATAAATTATCCTTTTCTTTTCCTAAACACCACCTCAGTATCCAATCCGAAACCGTCAACTTTTCTAGACCGAACAAGATCCGACCCGTTAAACAACTTCTTCAACGGTTCAATGCTATACAAATCATTAGCCGAATAGTTATCCGACCGTCTAGAAATTGCCACGTGTAACACACAGATTCCACCAGGCTTCAACGTCCGTTCAATCTCTCCAACGAATTTATCCGGATAAAGTGCATGGTCAAACACATTCGAAAATTCAAAGTCAAAAGTCTTATCATCGAACGGTTGATGATGAAAATCACCCTTGATCACAAAAGGCGGGTAGGGTACAAGATCCAACCCGATTGAATCATTAACTCCGACCCGTTTCAAAGCCTCCACCTCTTGCCCGACCCGAGCTCCAACACAAAGAGCCTTTGATGAATTTGTGAGCAGTTTTTCTTGTTTTAATTGGCTAAAAAAACGGGTGAAAACCCGAATCTTTCGGTCCCAAATCCCTGGAAGTCCATATTTTTCGGAGCTTTGGGTTGGTGGTTTTGTGAAGCTGGTGGTGGATGTAGGTGTCGTAAGAGGTGTATCCGGGTCGGATCTTGAGGCCGTTGATGGTGATTGTATGGTGGCCGGATCCGTTGGGGTGTTTGGATTGTAGAGAGAGAAAGATGAGGTAGAAGAGAGAGAGGAGAATTAGAGAGAGAAAGAAAGCTTTGGGTGTTGATGATTTTGGTGGGTTGATTGCTTCTTTCATGTCTGCAACTGCAATATTATTTGCATGATTTCATCATCATCAATCTCTCTTTCTCTCTAGAAATATTTGCTTCTCTCTCTTGATCGACCCTTTAAAATATTTCTACTGAGAAAGACTTCTAGCAATGTTCCACTTCTCGTACCATCAAACACTCTTTTTCTTTCTGAAAACTGTTTTTTTCCTGTGGTTTCACCTCTCTCTAAATCCCTTTCTGTTGTCTCTCTTTACAAATGTTGGAAGGTGTTCATGGCAACTGTGTGTGTGTGCGAGAGAGAGAGAGAGAAGAGAGAGAGAGAGAGAGAGATTAGTAAAGAAAAGAATGGACAAATGGGCGATAAAACAAGAAAGCATGCATGATGATATATGGTGGAAGAGAGATGGTTGGTTAAGCATAATTATCACTTGCTTCCTCGTTTTATAAACTTTATTATATATATATATATATATTATATATATAATATAGATATATATATATATATATATATATTATAAAAGTATAACTGTTTTTATCAATATGTGATATTTGACATGCGTAATACAGGCTCATATCGAGTCTTATGGGACCGAAGTTCGAAATCGGCTCCGTTTAAATAATACAGGCCATGTTTGGGTTAGGCTCGGCTCGCATAGGGTATACCATAATTCTTTAAAATAGTATTTATTAAATATTTATTTATTTTAATATATAAAAATAAAATTCAAAATATTATATTATATATATGTAAGCTTGTTTAGGTTTGGGAGTTTAATTGGGGTTAGTAACACAAGCTTAAACCCGAGCTTGTTTAATAAACAAGCCCAATATTAAGCTCGAGCTTGCCTCGGGCTCGTTTAAAATTGATTTCGAATTGAACTTTTAACAAGTCAATCTCGAGTAGCTCACGAGTAGCTTGACTCGTTTGCACCGCTATGTTTAACCAGTTTAAACGTGATTGATTTTTTTTGAATCATCTAACTTCTATGAATAGAATTTGAGTGACAAAAATTCAAATTTGTGTGTTACATCATATTCTCGAGTAAACTGTAAATTGGTCCCTATATTTGTCTAAAAATCGGGGTTTGAGTCCCTAAAGTTCCAATTTTGCACAATATGTCCTTATGGGCATGTTTTGTTGTGTTTTGGTCCTTCATTTTAACCATTCATTATATTGTCTGTTAAAATTTGTGAAATGATAATTATACCTTCTATAAGTTACTTAAAATATATAAAAATAAAATAAAAACATACACTAAGACCCCACCCTTTTTTCTTTCCTTTCTAAGGCTTCAGAGACTTAGAAGGATAACAATGACTTTGAGAAGGTCATAACTTATGTGGTACTTAAACTATGTTGCGATACCTAACTATTGATATCTCACATTTTGATAACTAAACTTTTGAGAATTTCTTTTTGGGACCATTGAACTTTTCTGCAATCTAAAACTATGAAAATGATGATTTTGAATTAAAAATATTTTCAAATGATATTTTAAAACAACCTAGACGAGGAGTGTTTCTGTAACATCCCAAAATTCAAGACAAAAAATTTCATTTTAATTCATTAATAAAACCATAAGTTATCAAAACATTTCATCAAAACATTGTCATCAGAGTTCCATATCAAAAATCAGAGTAAAAGATCCCAGGCTAAACATCATGGTGTGTGCGATGCAATCATCCCGAGCTCTTCCATCCGTTACCGGAAGTACCTGAAACCAAAACTGAAAACCGTAAGCACGAAGCTTAGTGAGTTCCCAAACCTACCATATACCATACACATAACCACATACTGGGCCCCCACCCGCTGCATCGAGACTTGCCCGACATCAGACTTGCTTCGGCAACGGGCCCCGCCCGGCATCAGGCCCCGCCTGACATCGAACCCCGATCGGTATACATATCTGTTTCTTTTAGGCCTCGCCTATCTCCGGGCGCCGCCCGCTATACATATACATTAATCACATAAACATACTAGCACATAAAGCAAACATACACTACTGCATTCCTGTTCTAAGGCCTCGCCTATCTTGGGCTCCGCCCCTGTCCTGCTACTGAAGAGTCATGGAACCCCATCCATACTCCTGTTAATGGTGAGATACGGGCCCCCGCCCACACTCACCTTTCTCCTATCTCGGGCCCCGCCCCTATTCTGCTAATAATGAGATATAGAACCCCGTCCGTACTCAGCTAGTGGTGAGATACGGGACCTCGTCCACACTTACCTCCCTACCAGACACATACATGTATCACAAAGACATCAAGTATAATCTACTATGCAACATATAACATTCATCGGGCTTACCCCAACATCGGACCCTAGTCCGAAAACATACTAACCGACACAAACAAAGAATCAAAATCAAAGACCTTTAGCATACTACATACCTCGGGCCTCGCCCGGCATCGAATCGTAATCTGGAAAATATACGTAAAATGCCTAGGGCTAACCCGGGTCTCTCCTATAGACACAAACATAATGGGCCGACATTGTGGCCGTAGACACATGCACACAGTGAGGAGACTCACCTCGCACTGCTGAAATCCCACAGATAATCCTCTGGCTGCTAACTGGCAATTCCCCGAACTGCTGCTCCTTCGACTCCCCGAGCTATCAGTACCAAAATAACACTTAGTCCAAAAACCATTAATCCTCCTTAGGGTAAAATGACCATTTTACCCCTGATCTAATTTGGTTCATGACTTAGGCCCAAATCCATCACATGAAGGACCTAATTCCATATAGTCTTTCCAAGCCACTAACGACCCACTTATAGCCCAAATTTATAAATTGGGCCTAACTTCTCAAATAGGCCTTCCCTCAAGCCCAACATATAATATAGTCCATTAACAGTCCAACATAATAGTCCATTAAGACCCATAATCAACTAGTCCAAGGAAATGGACCAAAAAGGCCCACTGACTTACGAACGCAGGGCGTTCCTTCGCAATCCTGGTCGCGAGTCTCAGCGGGAACGCAACGCGTTCCCGAGCCCTACGCAGCGCGTTCGTGTCCAGATTCAACTGGCCATTAAGCACTTAATGCTTAAGCCATGCTATCCAAACATAGATCCAAGCTATTTAAGATCTCTAAAATCAAAAAGTCACGGACTTGATGACTTTGCATGCACCCATAAGTCCCAATCTCAAGAAATAACAATCAACTTCCATAAGGATGGCCACAACTCTTGCATGAACCAATTAGGACCTTAAAGATGGCAACTTTCCTGCCTAAGGAACTCAAATAGCTCATGGGTGGCAACCCTAAAACGAAGTCCAGAAACAGATTGAACCATAAAAATCCATTCTTGAAACCAAAAAGGGACAATATCCAAGAGAACCTAGATTTATGATGTAAGTGATGGGTTTTAAGCATAAGAACAATCCTATGTGCTCATACAAACCCTAATGCTTGGATCTAGGTTTCTCTATTGTACATGCAATGAATCCAAGACTTACAAACCCTAGATCTATCAAATAAGAACTGAAATAAGGGTTTAGTAATTACCTTTGATTGTTATATAGCAATAACAATCAATCCTTGCTTTGATTGGCTTCAAAAAGCTTAGTGCCTCAAGTGTTGCACCTCTAATGGAGTCACAAACACCACTAAGCAACTTGGATGAAGAGGGAGGAGAGAGGAGCCACCAAAAACGGCTGTAAACCCTAAAGGAAGTGTTCCCCCCATTTTTGGGGCCATAAGGGTTCCTTATATATGTTGGCTATTAGGGTTTACAACTAGGAAACCCTAATCTGACTGCTTAGCCCTAAGCAGCCCATGGACCCTTTGAACATGCCTTGGACGATTTCTAATGGGCTTCCCCTAGAATTCGTCCAACCTATTATTCCAAGGTGATCCATAGCCCAATT